GCCTCCTGCTATACTTGGCGCCTGACCGTGGCGGATGCTTCACTCACTCGCTCCCCGCCTCTCCCTAAGCTGCAACATCGCTAACACTCCATCTCATTTGAGCTGCTCCCCCCTGTTACAAAGCCCCCGCGCTAATCGAGTTCTTTTTCCTATTCTTATAGTACTTCCCTTGCATCTTTACACGATTATCCTCCGCTGGCAAACAACACCATGACACATCTCCATTTGCAAGTCTCACATTAACAAATGCTTATAATATACTATCAAACATTCCTTCTCATTCCACTTTATACGAACAAAAATGCAGTACATATATATACACCACGACACTGCTAGATTTTTCTTTTATTGCCTCCCCTTTTCCCCTATGTCATGCAAAATCTTCACTAATAATAGATCCTTCGACTTGCTGTCCTTCTGCCGAAAGAAAATCGACCCACAATACCACTTGCAGATAATGCCGCTCATATATACCCTCCTCTACCCCCTCCCCCTTCAGATAAGCTCGCCCCCCATTTTCCCCCTTCATATAAGCTTGCTCCCCCTCCTCCCCCTTCAGATAAGCTCGCCCTCCCTTCTCCCAATCGCTGCTTCCTCCTCATTATTTCAGCGGCTTCCAGGCCCCCCATTCTCTCGACCACAGAATACTTCAACTCCATACTTCATTCATGCTTTTCTACCACCAGCTCTTCCTCTACCTCTTCCTCTTCCTCCTCCTCCTGCTCCATCAGAGACTGTGAACACAAGACCATTCAGGTACCTGCCGCCAGCACGTTAAGCTTGGCAACGCAGATTTCAGGCAGACGACTCCTGTACTTGCTCACGACCCCGCTAAACTATACGAGACCGGATCTGAGCGGCGGAGTGACTGTAGGCTAGTGCAGCTAATGCTTGGTGCAGCAAGACGCCCTGAGAGCATAGCAGAGGCTTAATGTGCAATGCTTTACTCTCCATGCTCTGATTACAGGTAAATGGTACGAGAATATTACTCAATGACTGTAACTAGAGGCAGGTGAAATTCTTACACAACACAAAATATTAAAAAAAATAGTTTTACCACTGATCAGTCTTCTTTGTTTAGTATTAAAGGTTTAAAAAAAGCACAGAGCCACTAGAAGTAAGGGCTTGCGTCTATGAGCAGCAACAAGAGTCAAATCACCAGTAGACTGTCAGTTACGTCACTTATTCCTGACGTGTGATATAACCTCAACCTTTTCGAAACCCGCACGATTCACCTTTGTTCTGATTACTGGACTATTATCATGGTTTCTCTCCTTTTTTATTCCTTCCTTTTCAGTTTCCTAGACGTATTGTATGTTAAATTGTAGTTCCATGTTTGTTTGTTTTGTTTCTTTCTTTCTCCTCGTGACTTCTCGTGAAATATATATATTTTTTTTACCATCTCGACCTCCATCAGACGCGCCGACCCTGGTCTTTCAACGCCTCTGATTCAACCGTAGAGGCAAACGACTAGGCTTCTCCGACCATCTGAAATAATTATGCAGTGGCTTTGGTTACACTCATGACTAGAAGACAGTATCATATCTATGGGTATATTGATGGCTCGCTGTAGACATGTTCTCTTTTTTTTATTTTCTATTATATTTGGTTTATGAGCAGCGGTTAGATGGGAGGTCTGGCACTGAGGAGACCAGTGCCCAGCGGACGCAAAGGGACAGTGCCAAAAAAAGAGAACCAGTGTGGAGAGGTCCCCACCTTGGCTTTTAGCTTAGCGAGTGTCTTTATCTATCCCTCTTACCGCTAAACTCGTAGATTTTTTAAAGTGTTTTTTTTCTCTCTCTCTTAGAAGATCATGTCTGAACATATAACAGGCAACACCTTAATACGTCTTTAAAAACTCGGATATCTCCTCCACTGGCCTTCTTTTCTGGGCCCTGGGCTGCCCGTGTCCCTCGCCCAGTCTGACCGCTGCCTGGGTGGTGTGTATGTACCGTATGTTTCCGTGTGTGTTTTATACCGTATATTCTAACCCTTTTCCTCCTTCCTCTTATGCAAGGTCTCCTCCTAACCTTGTTAGTTGTAGATTTAATCATGTCGATTGATTTAATGTCGGATTGATTAAGCTCACGGCCTGCCATCTGCATTCTTGTTAACAACCTCTTGTAAAGTAAAAAAAAAAAAAAAAAAAAAATAGAAAGCACGGATTCTCACAATTTGATTTAAAAGAATAGAAATTCAAATAAATGTCCCAAAAGTAAAAAAAAAAAAAATGTCTCTCGCCCAAATCAAATTGGCCTCTTTGCATTCAGTCATTCGAAATCAATGTCTTATCAAGGAATCGTTTAAAAGAGTGAAAGAAAATAATTTCAGAAATACTTAGGAACTTTTATTAACACCCCCCCCCCCAAAAAAAAAAAATGATGATACTAGTAATAACTTCAAGAATACTGAAAATAAAACTTATTCAAAACTCCCTCCCAAAGAAGTGAAAACAAATAACTTCAAAACTCCTTCAGAGTATGTATTCAAGCACCCCCCCAAAAAAAAATATATATATTATATGTATTATATATATATATATATATATATATATATATATATATATATATATATATATATATATATATATATATATATATATATATATATATATATATATATATATATATATATATATATATATATTATATATACATATATAACAATATTAATATTACAACCCCCCCAAAAAAAAATCAAAACATCTTAAGAGCATATATTCAAAATCATACTACCAATAATAACAATACTAATGAAGCTCAAAGCTCAAAGAATCAAAGATGCGCAAGATGAACATGGTTAGGGCGGTGCACCAGTTGCTGAAGTTACAACAGTCTCTCACGTGTTTCCCAACAGATACGACAGCGACTGCACACCCAAACTTCTCCTTAACAACTACCCTGCCGCTGCCTATGAATCGTGCGTATGACTTCCCTAAAAAAAAAAAAGATCATTAATAATAATCATAATGATAATTTTATAAATTGATTCAACCGCTGCTGGAAGTAGGTCCGAGGCAGCCAGGCTAGTCATGAGTTCAATGTTAAATGAGAGAGAAAATTATGTTTGTTTGTTTTTTATAAGAGATTTTTCTTTTTCTTTTTTGCAATGATTTGAATGGACATTGTGATTTTGTTGTCTTTTTTGGATAGTGTTTTCTCCAGATTAAAATTCCCATCTTGTTAAAAATGTGGTGCCTATTGTTCAATTCTTTTTAAAATATTTTTTTGGTATTTTGTAAGAGTAAAATTGTTATGGTTCTGTGGCTGAAGATCGATTATGAATAGAATTGCATAATCATATGCTGAATCTAATGAAATTTCTTTGCATGTTCATATCTTGCAGAACACTGCTCGCAGATAAGTTCAGTATATCTTAATTTTATAGAATTATGCTGTCAATACCTTTTTTTTAATTCAGAATGATCCAATGGTCATTCACAACAAAGTCAAATTCACAACCAACAACCTAACAATCAATGTACCTTAACTTGAATCTAGACAGGAGAACATAAAAGATAATTTTAAATAAAACTTAAAAACTTTTTAAAAATCTAAAAATGGATTCCCTTCGCTACATTTTCCAGTGCTGCTTCTCCTATTATATAAAAAAAAAAGAACTGAGGGTTGTCGAGTTTTAAAAATGCTATGCGCGTATTATTGTAGTATACATTTAGGCCTATATTCGCTTCTTACGGATCGCCCTAGCACTAAATTAGCATAGTTGATTCGTAACGTTCCTTGTTTCACACTCACGGATAATTAATAAGGTGCTCAAAGATCATTTACCATTTGCTTGAAAGAATGCACTGTTTTTTCTTTCTTCTTCTTCTCCTATTTTTACACCATACTTCCGTCCCGTGCAATGACGAAATTACGAATCACGGTCATTTAAAAAAAAGGCCTATTGGTCAGTAGCGGCGACGCAGAGTGGGCGAAAGTGGAATGGCGGGGGTTCAAATACACACATACGTTTATATGGAGACGCACACAGAAGCATACATGGGCATATACACAACGCGTGCAAGCAGAAATGTTTTTGTTTGTGTGTGATTAACAGAGACAGAGCAGAGAGAGAGAGTGTGTGAGAGGGAGAGAGAGAGAGAAGAGAGAGGAGAGAGAGAGAGAGAGAGAGAGAGAGAGAGAGAGAGAAGAGAGAAGAGAGAGAGAGAGAGAGAAGGAGAGAGAGAGAGGAGAGAGAGAAGAAGAAAAAAAAGAGAGAGGAACGAAAGAGAAAGAAAAAAAAGAGAGAAAGAAAGAGACAGAATGCTGCGATCCATGCGCATATGCGAGCGACTATATACCCCTGCATATGCGCATCCGTACGCACATCCGCGCGTGTGTCTGCGCATGCGTGTGTGCCAAAGCAAAAGCCCGCCCCCCATGCGCCTGCTCTGACGCGGCCAGCAGCGCGTAGGATAGGCCTCCTTGACTGCCAGCAACCTCCAGTAGTTATCCTAAAGCAAACTGAACCCGCAAAGTGAAAGCAAGCGGCCTGCCTTCCTTGCTAAAAAAGATGAAAGCAGTAGATCCCAAGTAGCATGACTGTAAGACAAGAGGAAGGTCAGGGAAGGAGGCAAGAAGCTGAAGTCCCGGCGTTGAGGAAAGATCAGGTGAAGACCCCCCCCCCCCCCTCCCCTCCACCACCACCTTTTTCTCTACCTTTTCCTCCTCCTCCTTTTCCTTCTTCTTCATCTTCCTCTTCTTCTTCTTCTTCTTTCTCCTTCTCTCCTCCTCCTCCTCCCCTCCTCTCCTCCTTCCTCCTCCTCCTCCTCTCCTCCTCTCCTCCTCCACCACACCACCACCACCACCTTTTTCTCTACCTTCTCCTCCTCCTCCTTTTCCTTCTTCTTCATCCTCCTCTTCTTCTTCTCCTCCTCCTCCTCCTCCTCTCCTCTCCTCCTCTCCTCCTCCTCCTCCTCCTTCCTCCTCCTTCCTCTTCCTACTCCTCTTACTCCTCTTCTTCCTCTCTTCTTCTTCTCTCTTCTTCTTCTCCTCCTCGTCCTCCTACTACTACTACTACTATT